TTACTCATGGAATTCTAGAGCCATAAGGGTAAAGCTCTGTGTTCTGGGCTGGGCTGGGCTGGGGAAATTCTAGAACCATGAGCAGAGTTGTTTGTTTCTGGAGAGTTCAGATAGTCTTAGAACCACTGTATGCCTCTGAGGTCTCCAACTATTTGAGGATGTTCCAGAACCATAGGAAGAGATGATGCCATTATAATTAAGAAGTTCTGGAATCACAGACTAGAAAAGTCTGTGTCTTTGGAGTGATACAGGTTTATAGAAAACCCCTGACAGAATTCTGTGGTTTAAGACCTATAAGGGAGTTCTGGAATCATGGATTGAAGCTATCAGGTTTGGACAGTGTGCGAGTTTTAGGAACATGGACAGTTGTCTCTTTTTACTCAGATTGGGCAGTTCTATGACTGTGGAGTAGAGTTGTCTATGGTCCTGGGCTGATAGAGGAGAATTCTAGAACAGTGGGCAGAGCTGACTGGCTCTAGATTGAGTGTGGTTAACTATAGTTCTTACAGTGTTGCTGGTTTTAGAAACAGGGTTTCTTGACCTGGCTGTGTCCCCTCCCAGGTATGCACAGAGAAGCACCAGGGCAAGGGCCTGGTAGTAGCTCTAGTGGAGTTGTGCTGGAGCTCCTTGCTGCCCATGGCCATCATTGCCAACTTGCTGCAAGGAGATGGCCAAGCCCTTGAGGGCCCTCAGCACTGGGGACTGCCTTACCGCCGTCAACAGGACCAGCCTGGTGGGGTTGCTCCTGGCCACCTGGAGTGCTCCCACAATGAGTGCCCCCAGGTTGGCCCAAGGCCCCCAGGTGGCAGGCATATCTCCTCCATGTTGCCAGGAAGGAGAGTCTGAGGTCACAGAAGTCCTTTCCCTGGCCAGTATGCAAGGGACAATGTAGAGCTTTAAGGCCAACCCACTGGGCTCAGGAAAACCAAGGCTCAGAGAGGCAAAATTGCACATCCAGAGTGACCTGGTGCGGCGGCAGGATTGGAATGTAGGTGCTCAGCTGCAAAGCTGGGCAGCTTTTCCCATTTGCCATTAGGCAGCAGGTGTTTCTTTGAGTCTTGACCTTTGTCACCCAGATGGGGTAATTGAGGCCCAGAAGTGGGGAGCAACCTGGGCAGATCAGAAGGGTAGGTCTGACACAGTCCACACAGCATTTGCTGTTGTGTGTTTGTAACCCTGCCTGGTGAATAGTGCTGGAAACTTGCTTTGACCTTGAGGAAACTGTGGCCCAGGGAGGTTGGGGAGGTGAGAGGTCATAGCTCCCACCTTGAGGACACCTGACTTGTCTGTGTTCTTAACCACATCTCCAAGGGGGCTTCCAGAATTGAGAGCCCTTACTCCAAATTCCATTTTACAGGCGAGTAAATGAAGGCACAGAGGAGACTGCAGCTTGTCAAAGGGTCAAGCAGGACCCTGCAGGCCCAGATAGGCCAATGGCTCCCATCCTGCACAAGTGAAGTTGCAGACATTGGTGACCTTTGGCATAGGCCATTGCCTGCTGGTCAGCATGCCATCATCCACTGGCCCCATACCTGTGAGCAGCTGGGCTTCTGTGTGGAGGATAGCATCGTGAGGCCCCACCCAGGGACTGGGTTTGGGGCTGGCAGCCCTAAGCATGACCTACTGAGCAGCACAGGCTTTCCTGTCCTCTCCAGTTCTGCAGTCTCCTTCCAGGTGGCATCACCAAGTACTGGGACATCCTCATGGGGCATAGCATCATTGAAATTCACAGGCAAAGTGTAACCACACTGAATGCCTACATCATTGAGCTGCTCACCAAGGCCCACTGAGATGCACAGGCAGTGTGGGGTAGGGGTAGGCTGAGGGGTGCTCTCCTACCAGCTGAATCCTGCCTTGAGCCACCCACCTCTGCTACCACCCAGCAGGTCCACATCAAGACAATACCAGCAGCACCCTAATTCCTGCTCACAGTCTAGAAGCAGCCCTGGCTCCTGCGACCAGCCACCTCCCCCACTACTGTGCCTTAGCTCCCACTGGCTCTGAAACGCCATTTTGGTTGGTAGGGCCCCAAAGATTCTTGGCTCTGTTATTTTCTGAAGTAAAAATTAAATGCTTATTAGCATGGGCATAGACTCAGATAGGGGTCTGGGGTTGAAAGAGGAAAGGCAGGAACTGACTCTGCCCCTTATCCTTCCTGGAAGCCAGAAGAAGCCAGCACTGTGAAAATACTCTATTGAAGACGAGCAGAGGGAGGCAGGATTCCATGTTCTATGTGGAAAACCACCCCAGCTCCAGGGAGGAAAAGGGAGTATGGGCCAACTAGCAACCTGGGCCCTGTCATAGCTTCCTTTGTCAGAGGACTGCACACCTCAGGCTCATGCAGACTTTTCTCTCAGTGCTTCCTGCTCAGATATCCTGGGAATCAGGAAATTGAGGCCATAGGTGAAGAAGGCATGAACTTACCTACCATTAATTAAGGCTGACTCTATGCTACGCACAGTGGATGTCGACAGAGATGACTAAGACTGGGTTTTAGGGGTCAGGCCCTGTTAAAACAACTCCTACATATCTTTCAAAGTCCCACTCCAGTGCCTCATCCTTCAGGACACCTTCCCAATCCTCCCAGGAGGATTTCTACTTCCTTGGCCCTGACTACCTGGGGGCTTGGAGTATTTCTCTCTGGCTTTATCTTGCCCACTAAGCTAGCAGTACAATGAAGGCATAGCTTAGTTCCAGGTCCCTTCACCCCCAAAGCCTAAACCCCAGGTTTTGAAGGGTGGTATCCCAAGTCTAGCTTTGGTCTGCTTTCAGGCAGTACCTGGGCTGGTGGGTGCGGGCTTAGCCAAGTCACACCCACCTCGCAGCTAGAGAACTCCTGGGAAGACAACCTGGACCTCACTGCAGTCTGACCGACAGCCAAGGGCTTGAGGGGGGCCAATGTGGAGTCTGGGGGCTCTTACCACATGCTGTCCTTTTGTCACTAACTCTGGGAGTGGTGACTGTCCACCTTGGAGAGGGAGAAAAGAGGCTAATACCTAACCCAAAAGTATGACTAACTACCCCACAACCCTCCCCACCTGTGCCCAGGCAGTGTTGTCCATAGGCTTTCTTCTTGCTCCCTCACAAGTTTACAACTTAGCCTGTTTGAAATGAAAAAACAGGCTGAGATCCTCTAGCCCATCAGCAAAGGGAGAATTGGGTTTCCCATCTGTAAGATTCCTCAGAGGGTTGTTCATAAATCAGTTCAGCATATGAAAAATACTTAGAATAGTGCCTGTCCCATAAGCAGGTACTGAGCAACCACAGGGAACACCATTCTAACCAGAAACATGATAGATTTGTACATTGTGACATTTACCTAGAGAGGGTCTGGAGGAAGGGATGCCTCTGTTAGATTCACAGAAAGGCACTATGTGGGCAGCCCCATATAGAATATGTGCTAACTAAGTATGTTAGACACCCAACTATTATAGGCTGATACTTGGGCAAAATGCCTTAGAGTTCAATAATATCCGATGTGGTCAGGACTGTTCTCATGTATTCCTGTATCTCAAATAAGGAAACTCCTGCAAAGGTTAACATATTTGCTTTAAGTTGTTTCAGTGACTCAGTGGTTCAAATATCCCAGGTCCAGGTTCTGGGGCCCGGACACTGACCTGATCAGGGAAGCTTCTGTTTGCTGACATCGTGGCAGGATCCAAGTGTGTCTCTGTCCCATCCGGAGACCCTTCTCCCCAGGGCCACCCCACTGCCCTGCTCACCTGGGCCCCTTGGTGACCAGAGGATGTCCCATGATCCAGTAGGCTCTGGGGCTCCTCCACTAGCACAGGCTCTAAGGACTGAGTCAGGGCTGTTGCTGGAGACCCTTCCTCCATGTCTTGGTGGAGCCCACCTTTGCCCTTTGTATAGCCCGCACCATCTGTGTCCCCTACTAGTGCTGTCTCGTAATCGCTGTTGACGAGGCTGTCACAGCTCATATCCGTGGAGCTGTCGGTCAGGCCGCAGTGAGGTCCAGGCTGTCTTCCCAGGAGTTCTCCAGGTGCGAGTTGGGTGTGACTTGGCTAAGCCAGGACCCCAAGCCCAAGTTCTGCCTGAAAGCAGACCAAAGCTAGACTTGGGATACCACCCTTCAAACTCCAGTTGCAAATCATGTAAAAACCCTTGATCTTCATCCTCAAATTAACCCGTAAGCTTCAAAGCTTAATCCTTGACCCCAGAGGAGGTTCTGACCATTGACCCTTGCTTTACTCAAGACTGAGCCCCCAAAGCTGAGCTGAGCATCGACCACTGAAAGCAACATAGGAGAAGAACCAATCCCTAAACCAAAGTTCCTTGAATCACATCTCACCGCATGTTCCAGGTTAAGACACTTCCATCAAGTCCAACTACAAGAGCCAGAGGCAGTAGTCCAGCCACCGCCCTGGGAGCCTGAGGTGGCAGTACAATTTTTGCCAACTTAACGTAAACTGTAAGGGCACAATAAAATACACTTAGAAGAAAAGATGAAGTATTTTAAAAGTACACATATAACAATAAAACAATGCATATAATAGAAAATGAATCCCAAGTCTACTTTCCGCTTACGGTGGTAAAACCCCCTTTCCCCTTCAAAGTCACAGATTAATACAAAGATTCACAATTTAAAATGCAGCCAAGTAAATTAGAAAAATGGTCAGTGACACAGAAAGTGAAAAAGAATGAGGAGAGTTCACAATTGTAATAAAGCTCATCACAGAGTAAACAACATAGAATCATAGAATTTTAGACAATGAAATTTTAAAAATCATCTAGTCCAGCCCTCACATTTTAGAGATGAGAAAAACTGAGGCTTACACCTGGCAAGTGACTTGTCCAAGATCACACAGCTAATTTCCTGTAAAGCTAGAATTATAACCCAGGTCTATTGTTAGGTCAATAGAAACAGGTCAATACTGTATCAGGTATGTCAAGTGAAAGTTATAGGTCAATGTTACAAATATGTATTTTTTTCCATTTTAACATATAGAGAAGTTGGAAAAATAGGACACCTCTCACACATCTACATAAATAAGTCCTTTTATTTTATAATGTTCCTTTTCTTTTTTAAGATGTATACAGTACTTGTAACTCAATAATTCTAAGAAAACTATAGAAAACCTGGCACTATTTTTGAGAATTATACAACTGGGCAGCAAAATAACACCTTTATAAATGTCATGACATAAATAAAATTTAGTGTTTGCACACGAAAATAGGGAAATTACATTCAACACATTTTCTTAAATGTGCATTTAAAATATTTAAATGTTTTTGAAAACTTTGGTCATCATACTTTATTATAACTTGATAAATTTCACAATTATGTAGATGATTTAACCCAAATAGTAAGGAAATATAGCACATTAACATAGCAGCAAAAGCAAGCTAATACTGCACAATCATATTAGCAGACTGATTTCAGAAATACATGTTTTCCACGAATAGCACACAGAATCAGTTTATGATAACATAGTTAGTGATTCTTCTTCCAATTCATAAGATAAGGCTGAGTAATCAGACGTAGCAGAACATGATTACATAATAAAAAGTATATTTTTAATTACAAATCTAATTGTACATATAGGGCAACAAATTGCGGTTTCTATAGAATAGTGCAAATGAGGACTTTTCTCAAAAATATTAAAATTGGATTCATTCCATGTGCCTCTGATTTAATGGATATTAGGTTACATTAATTTTAGGTTTTTATGTGATGGGTTCAAGTGGTAGGGTTGATATAGGACATAAGTGTACTCAGGTTGCAAATAAAAATAGCTATTGATTTGATTTATTGGGTGAGTAGTGCAGGCACTGAAAATGTAACTTTATAAAAGTTCTATTTGTCATCATGTAAACAGTTTTGTTCAACATACTGTATTTAATTATTCATAGTTCATTTCAAATTGTCATATTGAGCAATTCCTCTAAACTCTTTTTGATATGTGATGGTTGAGAGGCAGCCTGATTTAACAGATTCTGACCCATCTGTGAGAAAAGTGCTTTTGATAATTTAGCTGTGGCTGTTCGTATATTTCCTCCAGCTCCAGGCAGAGAGCCACTGTTTGTCATGTTCCCTAAGAGATGCCATAAAACAACCAACACTTTCTGTTCTGTGGCATGGGGCTTCTTTTGATAAAGTTCCATAACAATATCTGAAACATAAATATATGGTAAACAGTGAGCTTTTAAATAAAGTACTAACTAAAAATCATGTAAAATATACAAAGCTTCTTTCCTATTTGTCCTAAAATGTTAGGCATTCAAAAAAATGTAATGTCACAATCTTTCCTCCCAAAGACTGGAATCTTTAAGTACTAGAATTCACATGAGACAATTAGTTCAGGCAAAAGTAGTAAAGACAGGAATCAAACCCAAAGTTTATCTCAATGTTTTCAAAATGTAGCTAAATAAAAATGCATACATTTTAAACCCACAGAACTTTTATCAAACACATTAATTACAAATTTTTCTATGAATACTAATATTTTATTATAATCTTTTTATTTTTCCCATATTATTTTTACTAACAGGAAGACTAAACACCTATGGGAAAAAAGGTTAAAATTCTTTTGAAGAAAATTTTTGGGGTAAAAGTCTTAAAAGGTCCTCTTGTGGATCATTATACAATTTATTTCTACTTCTTAGGTAATAATATTGAATTTGGTAGCTAACCTAAAATTAAACTGAAATGCCCATCAGTTTATCCTTAGTTAAAATATTTCTTTAGAAATAATTTAAATATTTACCCGCAAGTTTTTCAGTCATATCCTGTTTTGCCTTCCCATTTAAAAACTGAGCTTTTGTGCAAAATGGCTGTAGGAGTAAATAGTTATCTAAACAAAAAGAATAACAAAGAGACATGTTTAAAGAGTTATGAGATCTTAGTTATCTTCCATTATATAGCACCAAAAGGAAAAAAAATTCATGCAAATGAATGTAAATGTGATAAAAGATTTTTTAATCTGTGTAATCGCTATTTAAAATAAAACCTTAACAGTAATATTCTTACAGAAGATGACAGATAAAGAATATTTCACAGAATATTAAAGGAATTATCACATAATATAAAAAAAGAAAAAGAATTCCAAGCTCCTAGGCATCTTACTCTAAATGATAGTATATAGGTTTCTCTCTCTCTCTCTCTCTCTCTCTCTCTCTCTCTCACACACACACACACACACACACACACACACACACACATGAAAAGAAAAGAACAAAATAATTATTTTTCTTGGGGTAGTTTTTAACCTTATTAATTAAAGAGTCACAGGAAGTTGCAAAGATAGTACAGAAGGGTCCTGTGTACCTTTTACCCAAAGGTTACATCTTATAATATTATAGTACAGAACTATTCGGTCACCACAGAGATCTCCCTAATGCTAGCTTTTAACGTCATATCCAGCCCCTTCTCCTTAACTCTGACAACCACTGATCTGTTTTCCATCTCTCTAATTCTGTTATTTTGAGAAGGTGACACAAATGGAATCCTACAGCATGTAATCTTTTGGGACTGGCTTTTTTCACTCAGCATAATATCCTTGAGCTCAATCCAAATGCTGTATGTATCAGTTAGTTCCTTTTTATTTCTAGCTAATAATCTACAGAATGGACTTACCAGTTTTTTTCACCATTAACCGACTGAATTACATCTAGGTTGTGCAGATTTTAACTATTACAAATAGAGGTGGTATGAACAATTGTGTACAGGTTTTTTTCATGGACGTTAAGTTTTATTTCTCTGGAATAAATGCCTAGGAATGTAACTGATGGGTTATACAGTAAGTGCATGTTTAGTTTTTTAAGAAACTGCCAAACTATTTTCCAGAGTGGCTATACCATTTTATTTATATTCTTACTAGCAATGTATGAGAGATCCAATTTCTGGGCAACCTTGTTAGCATCTGGTGGTGTCACTATTTTTAATTTTAGCTGTTCTAATACTTACAGACTGAATGTTTCTGTCTCCCCTTTCCCCCAATTTATATGTTGAAACCCAACCCCCAATGTGATGGTATTTGGAGGTGAGGCCTGTGGGAGGGAATTAGGTCATTAAGGCAGAGCCCCATGAATGGTATTAATTCCCTTACAAAAGAGGCCCCAGAGAGGGAGGATCCCTTCTACCATGTGAGGACACAATCAGAAGACAGGAATTGGACTCTCACCAGACAACAAACCTTGTCAGACGTTGCCTTGATCTTGAACTTCCAAGCCTCCAGAATTATGAGAAATAAATGTTGTTTTTAAGCTATCCAGTCTGTGAAAGTTTGGTAGTAGCCTGAACAGACTGATACATTTGTTTAGTGATCATTATCTTAATTTGTACTTGAATTTTCCTAATGACTAGGCTTTATTTGCCATCCATATATCCTCTTTAATGAAAGTTATCTTCATGTCTTCTGCCCATTTTCTAACTGGATTATTTTTTATGCTGAGTTTTGAGAGTTCTTTATGTATTCTTGATTTAAGTTCTTTGGTAGACATGTGGTTTGCAAATATTTTCTCCCAGTTTGTAGTTTGTCTCTTTAACCACTCAAAAGGGTTTTTGCAGAGCAAATGTTTTTAATTTGAGCAAGTCCAATTTATTGACTTCATGGATCATACTTTTAGTGTCCTGTTAACAACTCTTCACCAAGCACTATGGTCCTTAGGATTTTCTTATATAGTATCTTCTAAAAGTTTTACTGTTCAGTTTTATATCTAAATCTATAAGCAATTCTGAGTGTATATGAAATGGGAGATTAAGGCAGGAAAAAAAATTGAAAAAGTCAAAGATAAGGAAACAGAAAGTCAATTTAATGGGATAGTATTTTATCACTACAAATAATTTAAAATACTGTTGAGAAAATTTTAAAAATGTTATCACATTAAATGACAAAAATTGAATAGCCAGGATTTTAGCATTACAAAAAATTCTTCTATACAGAATCAGAAAATATGAAAGAAAAGTCAAAATAATTTGATTAGCAAAGTAAGATTTCTTACCTACATGCTGAATCAGTGCCTGAACAACATTTGTGGCAGCAGCATAGATGCCTGGATTCTTGGAATTCAGATTATTATCTACTATTGCTGGAATTAGCATGTTGATTATAGGAGATAAATTGTCTCTAAGCAAAGGAATCATTTTGTGCATTGTTTCTAGAGCCACCAGATTTACTTTACTATTGGAATCGTGAAGTCGAGATTTAAAAGCATCAAAAATCTGTAAGTAAATTGATTATTTAAAGTGAAACAATGTTTACAGTTATTATATTTAAATTGCTTTTGGCATTTCATAATTATCCTACTAAAGGAGTAATGTACTGTTTAAAAACACACACACATTTTTTTTATCCTGAACTTAGATAATAGGAATGTTCTAAAATTTGGATATTAAATCCAAGAGTTGAATATCCTTAGAGAAAAAAGAGAAGGCTTGAAAAATCACTCCAAAAGAGATTCTAATAAATTAAAGTTGGGAAATTTGGCTTAGTAGCAGATGACTGACTCACTATACATGTGATAAACATAGTTTCCTTAGCTTACCTAAAAAAGTTTCTACTTTTATCTTTAGTCATAACAGAGGCAACACACTGGCATTAAAAGAGCAGTTATGGTATATTTGTCAAGATTAATGCACATAATACACATTTTAAATGAATTTAATTAATAAATGATGAGTCAAATTAACTGAACTAAACTGTGATAAAGCATAAATACTCTATGCTCTGGTACCACTAACATTTATTACTATCGCCCTTTCTATTGCTTGTCTTCCTACATATCTTGTAGGTATATAAATCAGAACATACAGATTTCTGACCTACATATGAAAAACTTTAACATCTATCTCTAAGGAGTATCAAGTCTCTTAAATGCCCTGGTTTTTAAAATATGTATTGTTTCACTCAGCATTTTTTACTGAATGCCAGGTTCCAAGAGCTCTGGGAGTACAGTGCTTTCCAGGAGCTACTATCTAGTGGGAAGATTCAGACAAATAAGTGGCTGTTTTCTTATTTATTTTTTCTAGTTACTTTGAATTATTCTAGAATGCTTTTAATATAGCAAAACCTAAGCAATCCATTCTTGTTTTACACTTTAAAATAATATGTCTAAAGTACTAAGATCTAAGGCAATTTTTTAACTAATGAACTTTATATACCACAGATTGAAAATGAAAATTCATTTTGACAAATTCTTACCTTCACAATATTTCCAACAACAAGCTCTTGATTATTTTCAGTATCTGATAAAAGCTGTTTAATTCCATTAATACGATCACGAAAGTCTTTTGCATTTAATAAACTAGTTATGACTTTAATGTACTCAGCACTTTCTACGGAATTTCGGGGGACTGATTTTCTGGTGACATCATGAATTTCAGTTACCTCTCTAGAATGAAAGAAAGGTAAATTTAATTTCACTATTAGTTTCCTATAACAAACACAGCATAATAGATTCATTATATATTTATTTTTCAAAGATTCACAAAATGATTTAACCTACAGCCACAATACCTATGTTGGGGGTCCCCAAGATCTCCCCTGGGTTTGGTAATTTGCTGGGAGGACTCAGGATTCAACATGTAGTTTTACTCATGGATAAAATTTTATTGCAACAGAAGAACACACAAAAAAATCAGCAAAGGGAAAAAGCACATGTGTCAAAGTCTGGAGGAAATCATAAGCTTCCGAGGGTTCTTTTCCAGTAGCGTCACACAGGACAAACTTAATTCCTCTGACAAAAAACTGGGACAATACATGTGAAATGTTGTCTACCAAGAAAGCTTATTTAGAGACTTAGTGCCAGCATTTTTATTTGGGAGTTGGTCCTAGTTAGTTCTATGCCTAGGACATATGCCTATTCCAGATTCCATGAAGGAAAGTAGGTCTTCAGCATAAGCCATATTGTTTTGCCCAAATAATTTAGGCACAGTAAGCTACTCTTGTCAGTTAGAGAATGGAGGCAAATCTTCTGAATTTTATTTTTCAGATGCCAGCCAAGGGCTAATCTTGGAAACAGGCTCTTTCCAAGGATGGCAGTTTCAGGCTGCTACGTTAACTATTTTCTGCAAAACGTCCATATGAATATGCATAGTAAAATTAGAATCTTCAGACCAGCAGGATTTACTATTTCAATGGCTTTCTAATTAGTAGTATTTTGTTTTTCATTGTTATAACAGTTTACTCAATGTGATGTTTGATGCTATATGATATATATGCTGCTATAAGGGGGTATACTCAATGTGATAGATAATGATCCCTTTGACACTAAAGAGTCATGAAAACTGACAGGTCTGAAAGACAATTCTGATAATTGCTGGCTGCCACAACTTCTCTGATAAGCAGTATTATAACCAGTGCTAAAGTTGTTATGAGCAGTGATTAATGAATGACTTAGAATCATCCTGAATGCGGACATAACATGGTGATCTAAAATGAAGATCCTAAGATGTATTTATCCATTATGTATTTGTTTAAATAAATTAATCTGAGATTAATCTGAAATGATTAATTCTATACAATGAGAAAAACAGAGAATTAAGTTTACACTTAAACTGAGGACTATATGATACATCAAAGGTGAATAATGAAAAGATTAAAACAAAAGAACACCTCAAGATGCCATCTAATTACTGAAACTTGTTTTTAAAAGATGGTTTTTTTGTTAGACAACATTATATTGGTTTCAGGTGTACAACATAGTGATTCAATTATACACATTACTAAATGCTTACCACAATAAGTGTAGGTGTCATCTGTCAATATGCAAAGGTATTACAGTATTATTGAAATGTTTCCCATGCTGTACTTTCATCCCCATGACTAATTTATTTCATAATTGGATGTTTGTGCCTCTTTATCCTTTTCATAAATTTGTCCCACCCCCTAAAGGTTTTTTATGAAATTTATTATTTTAATTTATGAAATAATTCAAATATATACAAATACAGATGGTATGTATCCATGTACCTATTACCTATACACTAATACCCATGTATCTACTAATATAGTTTTTAAAAGAATGTTTAAAATATATTAAGATATACCACAGAGATCATATTTACAAAAAATTTTTTAATTGTATAATTAAGTGTTGTTATATACTTTAAATAGGTTATACAATTGTATATTTCAAAATACACCAGAGAGATCATAAGGATATTTTTAAAAGATTTTTAAAATTATATACCAATCTATTAAATGTTGTTAAATAGTTTAAATGGATTACACAATTGCATATACATTTATATTTATAAAAATTTTAAGACATTTTTCTTCTTGGTGGTATGACAGGTGATTGGTTAAATTCTTCTTTCAATGTTCGTAATTTCTAAAGTTGTTTTTTCTTTAACCATAATTCTGAATTATTTTTATAATCAAGGGAAAAATATAAAGGCTATAAGAAAAATCAGAGCTGTCTAACACAGGCTAACGTTGACAAGTTCAGTAACACTAAGACTGTACTAATGTTTAGTACATGTAAAAGTAAGTTACTGTGAATACATGATTGCCTTATTAAATCTAATTACCTCGCACTTTCTAAGTCCTTGCCAACTTTAAAACCCCATTAAATTTTGAAAATACTCCAGGGATAGCTCATGAAAACATCCAAATGAGAATATTAACACTAGGGAGTAGTTTCTCTAATGATGCGCACTATCAAATGATCCTACCTTTCAGTTGAATTGAAAACATCTCTAGAAACAGATGATGACCTTGTATTTCCAACACTGCTGGTATGAGATCGTCTTCCTTTTGCTGAAGGGGTATCTAGCGGTATCTCTCCCAAACCCTGTAAGTAAGTATAAAAAAAGGCAGTATAATAAAAGTCTTAAAACTAATAAAGTGAAATAACTTGCCCAATGTAATTTTCATAGCCTCCATGATTGATCATTTTTTAATACTGAAAGCACTTAAATATTATTATGTTATACTTTGAAGGGTATCAGATACAAAATATCTTGTGGATAATTAGAGTAAATTAACAAAAAATAGGTGACCAACTAATAGTAAATGATATTAGCTTGGTAAAAGTCTTTCTAATTTAAAAATTAATATATTAAAGGAATTATCACATAATATAAAAAAAGAAAAAGAATTCCAAGCTCCTAGGCATCTTACTCTAAATGATAGTATATAGGTTTCTCTCTCTCTCTCTCTCTCTCTCTCTCTCTCTCTCACACACACACACACACACACACACACACACACACACATGAAAAGAAAAGAACAAAATAATTATTTTTCTTGGGGTAGTTTTTAACCTTATTAATTAAAGAGTCACAGGAAGTTGCAAAGATAGTACAGAAGGGTCCTGTGTACCTTTTACCCAAAGGTTACATCTTATAATATTATAGTACAGAACTATTCGGTCACCACAGAGATCTCCCTAATGCTAGCTTTTAACGTCATATCCAGCCCCTTCTCCTTAACTCTGACAACCACTGATCTGTTTTCCATCTCTCTAATTCTGTTATTTTGAGAAGGTGACACAAATGGAATCCTACAGCATGTAATCTTTTGGGACTGGCTTTTTTCACTCAGCATAATATCCTTGAGCTCAATCCAAATGCTGTATGTATCAGTTAGTTCCTTTTTATTTCTAGCTAATAATCTACAGAATGGACTTACCAGTTTTTTTCACCATTAACCGACTGAATTACATCTAGGTTGTGCAGATTTTAACTATTACAAATAGAGGTGGTATGAACAATTGTGTACAGGTTTTTTTCATGGACGTTAAGTTTTATTTCTCTGGAATAAATGCCTAGGAATGTAACTGATGGGTTATACAGTAAGTGCATGTTTAGTTTTTTAAGAAACTGCCAAACTATTTTCCAGAGTGGCTATACCATTTTATTTATATTCTTACTAGCAATGTATGAGAGATCCAATTTCTGGGCAACCTTGTTAGCATCTGGTGGTGTCACTATTTTTAATTTTAGCTGTTCTAATACTTACAGACTGAATGTTTCTGTCTCCCCTTTCCCCCAATTTATATGTTGAAACCCAACCCCCAATGTGATGGTATTTGGAGGTGAGGCCTGTGGGAGGGAATTAGGTCATTAAGGCAGAGCCCCATGAATGGTATTAATTCCCTTACAAAAGAGGCCCCAGAGAGGGAGGATCCCTTCTACCATGTGAGGACACAATCAGAAGACAGGAATTGGACTCTCACCAGACAACAAACCTTGTCAGACGTTGCCTTGATCTTGAACTTCCAAGCCTCCAGAATTATGAGAAATAAATGTTGTTTTTAAGCTATCCAGTCTGTGAAAGTTTGGTAGTAGCCTGAACAGACTGATACATTTGTTTAGTGATCATTATCTTAATTTGTACTTGAATTTTCCTAATGACTAGGCTTTATTTGCCATCCATATATCCTCTTTAATGAAAGTTATCTTCATGTCTTCTGCCCATTTTCTAACTGGATTATTTTTTATGCTGAGTTTTGAGAGTTCTTTATGTATTCTTGATTTAAGTTCTTTGGTAGACATGTGGTTTGCAAATATTTTCTCCCAGTTTGTAGTTTGTCTCTTTAACCACTCAAAAGGGTTTTTGCAGAGCAAATGTTTTTAATTTGAGCAAGTCCAATTTATTGACTTCATGGATCATACTTTTAGTGTCCTGTTAACAACTCTTCACCAAGCACTATGGTCCTTAGGATTTTCTTATATAGTATCTTCTAAAAGTTTTACTGTTCAGTTTTATATCTAAATCTATAAGCAATTCTGAGTGTATATGAAATGGGAGATTAAGGCAGGAAAAAAAATTGAAAAAGTCAAAGATAAGGAAACAGAAAGTCAATTTAATGGGATAGTATTTTATCACTACAAATAATTTAAAATACTGTTGAGAAAATTTTAAAAATGTTATCACATTAAATGACAAAAATTGAATAGCCAGGATTTTAGCATTACAAAAAATTCTTCTATACAGAATCAGAAAATATGAAAGAAAAGTCAAAATAATTTGATTAGCAAAGTAAGATTTCTTACCTACATGCTGAATCAGTGCCTGAACAACATTTGTGGCAGCAGCATAGATGCCTGGATTCTTGGAATTCAGATTATTATCTACTATTGCTGGAATTAGCATGTTGATTATAGGAGATAAATTGTCTCTAAGCAAAGGAATCATTTTGTGCATTGTTTCTAGAGCCACCAGATTTACTTTACTATTGGAATCGTGAAGTCGAGATTTAAAAGCATCAAAAATCTGTAAGTAAATTGATTATTTAAAGTGAAACAATGTTTACAGTTATTATATTTAAATTGCTTTTGGCATTTCATAATTATCCTACTAAAGGAGTAATGTACTGTTTAAAAACACACACACATTTTTTTTATCCTGAACTTAGATAATAGGAATGTTCTAAAATTTGGATATTAAATCCAAGAGTTGAATATCCTTAGAGAAAAAAGAGAAGGCTTGAAAAATCACTCCAAAAGAGATTCTAATAAATTAAAGTTGGGAAATTTGGCTTAGTAGCAGATGACTGACTCACTATACATGTGATAAACATAGTTTCCTTAGCTTACCTAAAAAAGTTTCTACTTTTATCTTTAGTCATAACAGAGGCAACACACTGGCATTAAAAGAGCAGTTATGGTATATTTGTCAAGATTAATGCACATAATACACATTTTAAATGAATTTAATTAATAAATGATGAGTCAAATTAACTGAACTAAACTGTGATAAAGCATAAATACTCTATGCTCTGGTACCACTAACATTTATTACTATCGCCCTTTCTATTGCTTGTCTTCCTACATATCTTGTAGGTATATAAATCAGAACATACAGATTTCTGACCTACATATGAAAAACTTTAACATCTATCTCTAAGGAGTATCAAGTCTCTTAAATGCCCTGGTTTTTAAAATATGTATTGTTTCACTCAGCATTTTTTACTGAATGCCAGGTTCCAAGAGCTCTGGGAGTACAGTGCTTTCCAGGAGCTACTATCTAGTGGGAAGATTCAGACAAATAAGTGGCTGTTTTCTTATTTATTTTTTCTAGTTACTTTGAATTATTCTAGAATGCTTTTAATATAGCAAAACCTAAGCAATCCATTCTTGTTTTACACTTTAAAATAATATGTCTAAAGTACTAAGATCTAAGGCAATTTTTTAACTAATGAACTTTATATACCACAGATTGAAAATGAAAATTCATTTTGACAAATTCTTACCTTCACAATATTTCCAACAACAAGCTCTTGATTATTTTCAGTATCTGATAAAAGCTGTTTAATTCCATTAATACGATCACGAAAGTCTTTTGCATTTAATAAACTAGTTATGACTTTAATGTACTCAGCACTTTCTACGGAATTTCGGGGGACTGATTTTCTGGTGACATCATGAATTTCAGTTACCTCTCTAGAATGAAAGAAAGGTAAATTTAATTTCACTATTAGTTTCCTATAACAAACACAGCATAATAGATTCATTATATATTTATTTTTCAAAGATTCACAAAATGATTTAACCTACAGCCACAATACCTATGTTGGGGGTCCCCAAGATCTCCCCTGGGTTTGGTAATTTGCTGGGAGGACTCAGGATTCAACATGTAGTTTTACTCATGGATAAAATTTTATTGCAACAGAAGAACACACAAAAAAATCAGCAAAGGGAAAAAGCACATGTGTCAAAGTCTGGAGGAAATCATAAGCTTCCGAGGGTTCTTTTCCAGTAGCGTCACACAGGACAAACTTAATTCCTCTGACAAAAAACTGGGACAATACATGTGAAATGTTGTCTACCAAGAAAGCTTATTTAGAGACTTAGTGCCAGCATTTTTATTTGGGAGTTGGTCCTAGTTAGTTCTATGCCTAGGACATATGCCTATTCCAGATTCCATGAAGGAAAGTAGGTCTTCAGCATAAGCCATATTGTTTTGCCCAAATAATTTAGGCACAGTAAGCTACTCTTGTCAGTTAGAGAATGGAGGCAAATCTTCTGAATTTTATTTTTCAGATGCCAGCCAAGGGCTAATCTTGGAAACAGGCTCTTTCCAAGGATGGCAGTTTCAGGCTGCTACGTTAACTATTTTCTGCAAAACGTCCATATGAATATGCATAGTAAAATTAGAATCTTCAGACCAGCAGGATTTACTATTTCAATGGCTTTCTAATTAGTAGTATTTTGTTTTTCATTGTTATAACAGTTTACTCAATGTGATGTTTGATGCTATATGATATATATGCTGCTATAAGGGGGTATACTCAATGTGATAGATAATGATCCCTTTGACACTAAAGAGTCATGAAAACTGACAGGTCTGAAAGACAATTCTGATAATTGCTGGCTGCCACAACTTCTCTGATAAGCAGTATTATAACCAGTGCTAAAGTTGTTATGAGCAGTGATTAATGAATGACTTAGAATCATCCTGAATGCGGACATAACATGGTGATCTAAAATGAAGATCCTAAGATGTATTTATCCATTATGTATTTGTTTAAATAAATTAATCTGAGATTAATCTGAAATGATTAATTCTATACAATGAGAAAAACAGAGAATTAAGTTTACACTTAAACTGAGGACTATATGATACATCAAAGGTGAATAATGAAAAGATTAAAACAAAAGAACACCTCAAGATGCCATCTAATTACTGAAACTTGTTTTTAAAAGATGGTTTTTTTGTTAGACAACATTATATTGGTTTCAGGTGTACAACATAGTGATTCAATTATACACATTACTAAATGCTTACCACAATAAGTGTAGGTGTCATCTGTCAATATGCAAAGGTATTACAGTATTATTGAAATGTTTCCCATGCTGTACTTTCATCCCCATGACTAATTTATTTCATAATTGGATGTTTGTGCCTCTTTATCCTTTTCATAAATTTGTCCCACCCCCTAAAGGTTTTTTATGAAATTTATTATTTTAATTTATGAAATAATTCAAATATATACAAATACAGATGGTATGTATCCATGTACCTATTACCTATACACTAATACCCATGTATCTACTAATATAGTTTTTAAAAGAATGTTTAAAATATATTAAGATATACCACAGAGATCATATTTACAAAAAATTTTTTAATTGTATAATTAAGTGTTGTTATATACTTTAAATAGGTTATACAATTGTATATTTCAAAATACACCAGAGAGATCATAAGGATATTTTTAAAAGATTTTTAAAATTATATACCAATCTATTAAATGTTGTTAAATAGTTTAAATGGATTACACAATTGCATATACATTTATATTTATAAAAATTTTAAGACATTTTTCTTCTTGGTGGTATGACAGGTGATTGGTTAAATTCTTCTTTCAATGTTCGTAATTTCTAAAGTTGTTTTTTCTTTAACCATAATTCTGAATTATTTTTATAATCAAGGGAAAAATATAAAGGCTATAAGAAAAATCAGAGCTGTCTAACACAGGCTAACGTTGACAAGTTCAGTAACACTAAGACTGTACTAATGTTTAGTACATGTAAAAGTAAGTTACTGTGAATACATGATTGCCTTATTAAATCTAATTACCTCGCACTTTCTAAGTCCTTGCCAACTTTAAAACCCCATTAAATTTTGAAAATACTCCAGGGATAGCTCATGAAAACATCCAAATGAGAATATTAACACTAGGGAGTAGTTTCTCTAATGATGCGCACTATCAAATGATCCTACCTTTCAGTTGAATTGAAAACATCTCTAGAAACAGATGATGACCTTGTATTTCCAACACTGCTGGTATGAGATCGTCTTCCTTTTGCTGAAGGGGTATCTAGCGGTATCTCTCCCAAACCCTGTAAGTAAGTATAAAAAAAGGCAGTATAATAAAAGTCTTAAAACTAATAAAGTGAAATAACTTGCCCAATGTAATTTTCATAGCCTCCATGATTGATCATTTTTTAATACTGAAAGCACTTAAATATTATTATGTTATACTTTGAAGGGTATCAGATACAAAATATCTTGTGGATAATTAGAGTAAATTAACAAAAAATAGGTGACCAACTAATAGTAAATGATATTAGCTTGGTAAAAGTCTTTCTAATTTAAAAATTAATATGATATATTTTATAACTACTCTTCTTAAAGCTTAAAAGTTATATAGTAAATATGAACATATTACAGAAACAATGAATTTCTCTGCAACACTACTGTGAGAATGAACATTTTGACATGAACTATTTAAAATCTCGTTTTCCCTGATATTTGTATTTGAAATGACTCCCACATATAATCTGCCACATTTTCATAATTTTTTGCATGGTTTTTAAAAAGTTCTTTAAGTTAAGCAGAAATCATCAAGATTAACAGGCAGGAAAAAATGCTCTAAAATGTGTATTAACATATATCTTTGAAATATTCCTTCCTAAATGAATTCTTTGCCCAAGATTATCAGAGAGGAGTAACATAAATTGCCATGGAAAAACATTTTTTTATTATTAAACATATTTTTGGAAAAATAATGTGTAAATGGACTACTTTTTTATAAAACACTTTTCACATTTTTTTTCACTTGGAATTCCCTCACCTGTTTCACAGACATTTCTGAAATCCCATTATCTATCAGGATAAATAAGACTTAGGGCTTTCACTCAAAAGCTCCCTATCACTGCTCTGCACTGTGGTAGGAGCTCTAGTAGTTGAACATGCAAGAAAAATAAAGCAAGGACCAGGTGTGATAAACATCACCATTCTCATTTTATAAAAGTAAAAATTCTGGTTAAATAAAGTGATGTGCCTAACATTAAGTTGCTAAATCTCAGAGTTGTGATTCAAAGCCAAGTCTTATGAGTCCAATAAGCCATACACTACATTCTACCAAACATCAAGCTTCTGTTCAATAAATATTTACTGACACTATAAATGTCTACTTAGTGCTGCAATTGTTGAAATGTGACTATTGATGTACTCTGGCTAAAAGAGAAATAATTGAAGAATTATTCTTACCCTGTACCTTTCTGGTACTTTGTTTGCTTTAAAGTTGTTTATAAATACATTTCTTTCACATACCTTTTGCCGTAAGCTTTTAACAGATTCCTTAATATATGGCAAATCTTTGGATAGGACATACTTTTCAAGCATTTTATCAAAGTTAGGATAACACATCATGAGGAAGAGCATCTTTCGACCATAATACCTATGGATATTTGAGAAATATGTAAAAAATGTTTACATTTTCTAACAAGCTAACAGTTTTCTGTCCTTAGATGCAATTTTTTTTTAATAGGAAAAAAAACAATCAACATCAAGATTACCATCCTTACGTTAAGTAAGACACTGATATGCAGTTAATACTACCTGGACTGGAGAGTATAGCATTCTCCTGACAAAACCTTTAGAAAACACTATAGCTTCAAAGCTTTCAGCTGTGTGTCGGATGGAGAGCCAAAAGCTTTGATTCAATCATTCAGGCACCCTAAGGTCCATATCAAGGCTACCACTTGACAGAATTGTGAGGGAGGAGAAGTTTGTCTTTGACCTGGTTTCCTTGCCCAACATCCTTTTGCTGCTTCCTGCTGGCCAGTTGTTCTAGTCTGAGGCAACCTTCTCTTGGTTCTGTATTTCTGACCCTCTCTCCCTTTTCTCCCTGACAAAATTTAGCTGGGTTTTAATTATTCAAAAATCTATTCTCCCCCACCTAAAATACACCCAAAGTTAATTGATAAATCATGGTTGCTATATTAATGAATGTGTAATGCTTTTCAAACTAGGTTTTTTATGTTATATCAATTTCAAAATAATTCTTTTAGGATAATATCTTAACCAAGATACCACTGTAATGGTAGAACTCCAGATATCAATGAAGTGCATATTGAAGATATTTTTGGGCAGAGGGGTCTTATACTACCTCATAATAACACCATATTATTCTTCAATATGGCCCTAAAATAAATTAGTTACACTTTGCCTACAACTTGAAATAGATAGGACTAGAAGAACCAGAGAAGAAAAGGCTTTCATGAGGCATTGTGAGGAGGAGTGTGGATGATCTCAGGATCATCTGTATCAACCAGACTCCTTCAAATACAATGAAATTACAGAAAGGGAGGTAATATCAAGATAATGAAAATTACTTTTCTTTCCCACAACCAGAATAAGGTCTACATACATATAAGTAGCTCCTAATCAGTTACAATTTTAAAGACAATTTTAACTTTTAGTCTAGGACTGTAGGTCTACAATAGGCCCTAATGATATGGGAATGGCTAAATCAAACAAGTAAACAAGGAATAGGGACACCAAATGTAAGAAATATTAAAACTAAAGTTGTAAACATTTAAAATTTTTACACTTAAAATAGGAATCTAAAAACTGACAAAATTAATTAGAAGTATTACTATGATATTAAGGAAAGGTTAAGATACATACAAAACAACCATTATGAATCTTTTTTTTGTTTCTAACTAGTCTATTATGATACAATCCTCCTGAATTCTTTTGAACTTTACATAGTATATAAAACTTCTAAAATGTTTCCACAAAGACGTCCTGCTCTAATTTGTACAGTTTGTTAAAATGATGAGATACACTTTCCAGTGATATGTTATATCATATGGTAAAGTTACTTTAAGGAAGATTATTTGGGAGGTCCTAATCTGATCACACAAGTCTTCAGAGCATAGAGGAAGTCAGAGAGATCCTAAGCATGAGGGGGATTCAAACATACTGTATCTGGCTTGGAGATAGAGGGGGCTGCACAAGAAGGAATTCAGGTAGTTTTAAGGAGCTGAGAGGGGACTGGGTTGACAGCCAGCAAAGAAATGGTGATTTTTGTTCTATAACCACAAGGAATTGAATTTGGCCTGCAAACTGAATGCGTTTGGAAGCAAATTCTATAGAACCTCTAGATAAGAGCCCAGTACTGTCATCACCTTGATTCACGCCTTGGGAGACCCTAAGCAGACAACCCAGTTGAGCCATGCCAGAGTTCTAACCTAAAGAGGAGTAAGCTAAAAAACCTCTGTGTTGCCTTAAGCCACTATGTTTGTGGTAACCTGTTACATAGGAACAGAAAATGAATACATGGATTTTCTTTATTAGTTTTTGGTATAATGTCTTCCACAAGATTAACTCTAGACACCTACAGTAATGGACACCTTTGTCTTAAAAGGTTAAATATTTGATATTGTTCTTTACTTTAGAATGAACTAAGGATCCTCCCTCCACCTTTTAATCTACCTTCTATATAACTACCACACATTTTTAGATCTTGTAATGAGACATTATCAATCACCTAGTCCAAGATTCCTAATTTTACAGTTGATGAAACTGAAGCTAACAGAGGTTAAGTAATTTGTTTAAGGACAAATGGTGATTATTTTATCATCTTTCTCTGACCTTAACCTTCAGAAAATTGTTCTTGAAGTGTAGCAATCAGAAATTTATAGAATTTTCTAAGTGCAGGTATCTCATATTTCAAGATATAATACCCATTTTGCTTTCTGTATTTTTTATGTATACCTGTTTCCTTGATTTTACCTGATTGTTTGGAAAATAACTTCCCCCTAGATGCATTACCTTACATTTGCCCACAATGAAGTTCTGCTGCCACTTTCCTGCCCACTCATTGTGCTGTTTTCATGTAGTTCATCCCTGTGACATGGCATCTCACTACCCAGAAGTATGTAGTGTCATCTGTAAATTTGGTGAATTCACTGTATACTCCCTCAAGATCATTTATTTATACATTGGTTAAATAAGACCATTGCCCAGCACCAACCCCTAGAGACCTTACTCGTCCATTTAGAAAAATGGTCATTCTTCTTTAACCTCTGTTGCCTATTTTTAGTAAGCTTATAATATACTAACAGATTTAGCAAATATTATTAGCAGCTATTCACCTGGTTTCTTGTGAACTGTCCTGAGCAAACTTGGCAGCAGCTGGTAATAAACGGTCAGCCATATCCTTTGTTCCAGATAAAATACGCTCTGGTTCCATAATTTCCACTATATCTGATAAGTGCTGAGCTGTACATTTTCTTACTGCAATGTGTAAATGGCTACAAGGAAACATGGCAAGTAAAGTTAATATATAAGCATTTCCCAAAGATACACCTTTAAAGTTAAATGAATAGACAACTCTTAACCCTCAATGATCATCTGTGGATGCTAAAATGACAAATTTTTATATTAACTATCCCTTTCCCAAGAAGTTAAAAACTCATAATCACTGATATTTAGTAGTTCCAGGTCTATGAATGTAAGTAAAATTATTAAAATAAAAATGTTATTCTCTGTATGCTCGGAATCTAATCATATAGGAACTATTTATTTTCTGACTGAAAAAACACTGAAATTTGCTTTTTTGCTACACCCCAAACACCCCATATTGCAAATAACTACATTCTTGGTTTAAGGACATGTCAAGATTATTATACTACCTTTGTCCTCCATTGATAAGAGAAACAACTGCCCGTGCAGGGGTTACATTATTGACCATAGCTCTCAATGCTTTGTCAACATCTTCTCTTATAAACGTATTTGATTCTCCAGCCTTGTGCAACAAAACTTTTACTGTAGTATCTAGTTCTTGATCCATGCCCTTTTTCAGGTAAGTGAAAAGATCACTTAAACAGACCACAGCAGCACGAGAAACTCCAGAGCGTAAATTTTTCACCTAAAAAAAATTTCCAAAATGTACATTTTGCTGAGATTCTGAAAGAAAACCAGTAACAATCACTATGAAACTAAATCTACTATTAAAGTAACATGTTTTAATATGTATTATCTTATGTCCAACTTTTAATACATTTTTAAAAGTTGCAAAGTAAAGCATTACTTTAACTACATGGAAGCCTACTCCTATCATTTAGTACAAAGGGTTTTTTCCTATGGTCAAAAGAGTTTGGCATATTTACTTTTTATTATTCAAACAATCCTTAATTCAGATGAAAAATAACTTTACCTCTTGAACTACTGCAAAACTTGTTTCATGCAACTTTGTGTTCAATATTTCAGAATGAAAAGCAGCTAAGCATCTAATAAAATTCAATCCCTCAATTTTCTTCTCCCTACAGGAAAGAGAAACAAATGACAAAATAATTTATTAAATGAGGCTCAACCAAATAGTATCTTAGATGCCTTCTCTGGTGTATATGCAATATTTACAATGAGGAGACTTGGCCCATTTTTCCTTATCATACAAATCTCAAATAATAAATATGTAAAATTTTGTTTGCTCCAATAGTTCTCTTTCATAATTCAAAGGATCTTTTAAGAGCCCAAACCACTATTGCCATTAACTAAGTTCATACTTTGTAAAAAAAAAAAGGAACATTTCTCCTCTAGTAAGCATGCCACATTCTTTCTAGAGAACAGAAGGAAAAGGAATGTCAAACAAAAGATGAGGGAAGCAGTAAAACAAAAATAGAAACAGAAAATTAACTACCTGTTACCTTTTTGGTGAATACATAATCCAAGAGCAGAAAACCACTAAAAGATGGTCTGCAACTTATACTTCTTTAACATTATCTAATGAGTCAGATGGATAGGTGGATACTAACAAAAGAGGGTGAGACTTAAACATAACATTTCAAATTTGGTGGTTTTCACCCTTTCAGTTTGAAAAATGTGAGATGAGTTTCCTTAGTTGGTAATACTGATGGTGTTCATTTTATTTTTTATTATTTATTTATTTTGGTATCATTAATCTACAATTACATGAGTGACATTATGGTTATCAGACTCCCCCCCGATCATCAAGTCCCCACCACATACCCCATTACAGTCACTGTCCCTGATAGTTGTCATTTTTAAAAGCATTTAAATCCCCTGAATGAGTTATGTAAAATGAAGAGAAAACACCTAAGATTCCAAGGTGGCAAGAGTAAACCTATTTAATAGCTGTTTGGTTAAAAATTCTCATTTTTAGGATAAGCAGAAAACAGTTTAGATACAGAAACAACCCAAAATTATACACATAAAAGTAACAAAGTAGAGTCGAGAGAGGTGGCAGAAAAAAACAAGTAATAGTGGCTGAAATTTTTCTACATCTTATCACAATTATAAACTCTCAGATCCAAGAACAAATCCCAAACAGGAAAACGCAAACCACAACATGGAACATCATAATCAAATTGCTAAGAACGTTAATGGGAATATTGTTAAAAAGTAGCCATAGAAAAGAAGGCACATTACATACAAGAGAACAAAGACAATAATTACAGAAGACTTCCGGTCTGAAATATGCAAGCCAGAAACAACTGAACAAAATCTAAGTGCTAAAAGGACACAAACAACAAAAAAACCCACTTAACAATTTAAGGGGGAATATACAAATCTCCAGTTATAGTTGGTGATTTCAAAAGTCCTTTCTCAATAATTGATGGAACAAATAGATGAGAAATTAGTAAGGATATAGAAGACTTAAATAATGCTATTAACCAACTTCACCTACTTAACATTTATAGAACATTACAACCAACAACAGCAGAAATATGCAGTCTTTTCAAGCTCATAAGAAACATTCATTTGAAAAAGATAGGTCTCTCTCCTCA